TAAAAAACAAAATTGAATTTCATTATAGCCCACCCTGTATCATTGTGAATTCATTTACTGATGACTAATTGTTATTATTATTTGGTGCAAATTGTTCCACTATTGGAGAATGATACTTTTTCAGTTAGATGACTGACACTGATAAGAGCTCCATCATTCAGTATTTTCCTATTCACTAAGCGATACTCTAGTGACTTAGGTTATCGAGAAAAAAATGGCCAAATTATTATTTTACAGCTCGGGGCTTTAAAATAAAACCTTAATGAACGAGTGTAACTACTGGTTCCACTATGCTATCTTATCTACCATCCAACAGGCAGCTGTTGTGAGGACAAACAACAATAAGGCAAATCTTATTGGAAATATAAATATGGAAAAGGACCCCTCAAAATTGCATCTGCAACAAAAAGAACAAAAATTTTGACAGCTGTCAGATTAGATATTGAAGCTGTACGTGATAGTGTTTTATGAAAATCCAGAAACATCATTTCGGCGTTGTGGTCAAGAGTTCAGTAAATATCTGCATTTTGATGCTCACAAAATCCGATTGTCACGGAGAACGCATGATGACCATACACAGAGAAGAGAGTTCGACGAACGGGTTATTAAACATGAACCTGTGGATGCTGATTTGTCTAGCAGAATCATCCTAGGCGCACCGTAGCATTTGGGGTTCAGTGAATCCTAGTGCGATTGTTGAGCAAGGAATACATCCACAATTTGTCAATGTTGAATTTGCATTAAATACAGGAAGCATTATTGGACCTTACTGAGAATGAGGCTGGTCAAGGTGATAATCACTTGTTCCCGGTATGTGACATGATTATTTCAAACAACCCGTATAATAATTCAATTAGTGAACGAGACATTTCCTGCTCGTGTACTCTCTTGTTCCGGTGATCAAGGTTGGCTCTCTAGAGCATGTCTATAATAGAATTATTTGAAGTTAAAGGTCTATGACAAAAGCTCGTGCATTGAAGCTGGAAATGCAACGCTGTACTACAGAAATTCAGCAACCTTTATGCAAAATGGTTGCGGAAAATAACGACAAGAGTAGGCACCTCTCAAACAAAACCAAGGAGGTCATTCACCTGACCTGATATTTAGAATAGACAAACTTGAGAGATAGTAGGAAGTATTTTAAGAAGAAGTAGTTGACAGTCTTCCTATTTTACCTTGTTTTCGAAGTTAGCCGTAGGAAGAGTATAGAGCTCGCAGTTTGCCAGCTCAGAAACTTAACGTACCAAAAATTTAACGGCTTACTTACATGCTGATGCTACACGGCATTTCCAATCACTGGATACTAGCGGCTAGCGCCTAGTAAGCTCACAATAAGGCGCACGTAAAATTTGGCACTGACGAATCGTTCATATATTATACGTAGCTGGTGTCCAATGACTGGAAATATCTCTAGACTGACGATGCGAACTGGCATACAGTTCCAACATGCAGCTTGTTGTTTTCACTTTCTCAGTTGTCGATTCTATGCTGTAATGCTACTTTGTGCTGACTTATTTCGATAGACCTTTTACTCTGAATAGAGTTAAGTTGTTCAGCATGAAACATCTGTCCATGGTTGACCGTATATGGTCGAACGAACAAAGTTATATTACTAGTTTGTTCGTTGGCGAGAAGACTGTGTTTAATAAAGCACCAGAATCCGTGGCATCTAGCGGCCATAGTGCTGCCCGGACGGGTATTACGTATCTTGAAAAGTGAAATTACGTCGATTTTCTTTCGCATTTCGTAGGTTTTTTGTGATATATCGCAGGTTTTTCTACGAGATGTTAACTTATCGAAAGCTGTTTTACACTTGTTGTGAACTCGTTTTCTAGCTGAACGTGTTGCTTTAACGTCAGCGAACAGCGATTATAGCAAGTAAACGTGGAATGAACTATTTGCACACCAAAGACTACTAGTCTGCAAGATGACATTTCACCGACGTTTTGTAGATTTTTTACATCACAGCCCTGCCGACTGACTGGTATTCACTTCCGTAGTGGTCGATTCTGGTAAGAGATGGTACTTTGTGCTGTCCAGACCAAACAGATCTGAAGCTCAGTCACAACCATAGAAGGCACGTCCGCCGATTCAATGCTACCACGGCTGTGACCTTTATTCTTTTTTTGAGATGGCAAGCCAGTATTGAACCAGTAATACATTTTTTCCAGAAAACAGGAATGACATCGTCATAATTTACCTTCCTTATCACTAGAAACAAGAATGACCTGTATGTATGATCAAGATGGAGAGTCAACAGTCACTTCCCAAGGGTAAACTGAAATTAGTGATCACCGTAATTATATTTCTCTATAATTGTCATCATGGTCAAGAGTATATTTATGTAGTATGTTTACCTTCGGTTCGAGGCAGCTGAGTTCCTACCAAGAGTCGCAGCTGAATTTCATATAATTGTCCGTATGTCAGAAATTATTTTAAGTATGTTGGTATGGACTGCGGCTGGGGATGATGACAACAATTACATGTTACCCGTTGGCTCAGACTTTTTCACATAACCGATATAACTCAGCTCCTAACGGGCTAACACTGGGCAAGCAGTTCGTTAAATGATTGCCAGAACTGCGTGTTTTCCATTTCACAGACCGTTTAAAACAATGATGGTATAAATTAACACGGAACTATACCACATTCGGGCTCGGCAGGAGAATATTCTGGTTGCTAAGCGTTATTAATGATTAGGAAGATGGATGATTGTACTCGGTATACGAACCTGTATATGTATGGCAGGGTTACGAGCTACTAATTTTCTGTTATTTCGCTTCCCATGGGGTGTCGAGGGATACCATCAAAATTATGATTTATGCGTGAGCATGCGTATGCGTTGCATTTCAACTCTGGAAACAAGAAGGATAGTGTTCTACCGCAAATATGAACTATGACAGCTTTTCGATCGACACAGTCTTGTGTGGCAAAGCAGGGAAGACACTTCGGCTACTGCAATGAAGACAATAGTAACTCAAAAATCCTTGCTTTTGAGTTATCATATGGTAGCGCTAGACTTTGTCGGGTTCTCTTTGGTGGAAGAATTTGGTATCTGAGTCATGCAACTATAGGCAACCAATAAATCTTCTACGTCATATAGTAAGTATAATAGTGACGGTTGCTCCCGCGAAAACTACACCAAATTGAGTTACCTTAGTCTTCGATGAAGAAAATCACAGAAAACCTAACTTACTGTTGAACCTACTGTCTGACTTACTATGATTTTCGCGACATAGTTTAAGGTTACGTTAATTAATAGCAAAAACGTTTCAGGTATTAGCTGTATGAAAGGAGCAGTTTTCAAAGCGAACTAAAATGAATTCAAGAACCAACATAATTCTGATAGATGCAAAGAAGCTAAGTGCAGTTACTGAACCGTTAAATTCAGGCAAGTTTGGTTCATAAATAATGATGAATTCTTTTAACACAACAAAAATATTCAGAAATAGCATCTTCTTCTGCACGTTATGCATTGGGATCTGTCGCATCACACTCTGTTTCTCTCTTGCCTGTAAAATAAAATAGTTAGCAGATAATTCAACTACTACAGTCCTCGGTTTTGCTAAGACGACACTCAGGTGTTTGATTTTCGTTCGTTCAACTCCAAGTCTGGACCTGATACAGACCTATATTACAGAGTTATATCGTACTGATGAGGGCTAAAGAGCCCGTCTGCGGTTGGTCGTGGATCAATTAGTTTTAAATAAAAGGTAAAATCGGAAAATTGGAACTAAGACGATTGTGGAGAAAAGTTGAAAATAAATAAGATAAGTGCATCGTGAAATGAAATATAAGTGTGACTATGCTGATGATCTCACGATAGTAATATTGATTATCAGCGAATGAGACCGCAAAACAATACGCTTCAGGAACTACCTTTGCTGTACACAAGCGTGCTTCCAAAAAATTAAATGGTTTATTAGACCTATGTAAATCAAGAGCACGCAGTCTTCCTAGAATTCCTGAGACTTACCTGCTTTTCATTTTTCTCCAAAAGCCAAGGAAGATAAAAAATACAAAGAAGACATAATATTAACAGTGCTGAAAATACAGGAGTTGACAACGATGATAGTGGAGAAGACGAAGATGAATACAATTTGAGTGACTCAGATTGGCATTAAAGAGGTTTTTTCGACCATTTGTTTGAAAAATGAATGCATATCCTACTAAGTCTAGAGCAAGTGCACTTTTTCTTTAATAGATCCAACGAAAACTAAAGTCACCAAAATTTATAAAGAAAAATCTTACTTTCGCTAGGTTAGTATAGTAATACCATTTATAACCTTCAATATACAAGAATTACTGCAACGTGCACCATATTTTTGATGAGATCGTCATTTTTCTGACAACGAAATTCATCAGAAAATATTTTAATGCCTGTATCTTAATTCGACCAAAAGTGAGTTAATAGTCTTCCTTGTAGGGGTTGATAGACACTGATTCCTTGATTCGAAGTGATGGAAAATAATAGCATACATTGCTATTCAAAAAGGTGCTTCCTTAATAATTTTTTGAGCAAATTCAGTTAGGCAGATGAAATTCGACGAGATAGTGGTGCATATTTTATATCAAAGGTCTCAGTTGAAAAGTGCATGATGATTATCTGTAAATTTTAATCCTAGGTCAGTACAAATAAATATATTATCTCTGAAAATAGCGGACCTGTTCAGCGTTTGTTGCATTGAATCGTTTATGATCCTAACAGCTAGTTATAGTATGTTGTATATAAATATTCTTCTTTTGGAAATGCCACATTTTAACACATGTTCGTAAAGATCCTCTCCAAGAGAAGATTACAATACTGTAGCGTTTTGGTGATTGATGGAAGGGCTAGAAGCGGTCTACAAAAATCCTGGTATTTCATTCTGCGCCTACTACAAGTGAGCCTGAAGTGAATTTTAACTAATTCAAAGATGAAATTTTAAAGAAAACACTCCTGTATATAATGTCACTTTTTATCCAAGTTTCGAAATCGCTGATCAATAAATGAAGTGAAGGAGAAACAACGCTTGTGTTAGAACCGATCATTGAGAACCGTGCCTATATTGCAGAATGAAGAGGGGAACATGTGAATTACGGTAATACCTTAGCGCTAAAAAGAAAATTCGCAATCCAGCATCATCGTTATCGTCTTATAATGAGCAAGGCGTAAGGTCACTAGACTGGCAATGAATGTACGTCTAGTGTGGTTAAGGGAACATACATATACCGGGTAGTTAGAGTTGTTTGAACATAAACAACGTGCCAGATACGTATCTAACTATGCGTATTCTGGATTTGCCACATCTGATTCAGCCGTGTTGTACTAAGCGTACTAATTTCAAAGCGTGTGCACTGTGTTTCAGAACACTGGTGTCGGCAAGGATTAAGGGTTAAAATCCAAATGATTATAGAGTTTTGGCAATGAAAAATAGAACTAAACCTGTTGAATGAGAAATGAAACCAGAAAAAGCTAACCACAATTCATTTCAATTTGTTTGAAACATCCAACCATTGTTTTTACTAAGATCGATGGCGTCGAACAATTTTTTTTTAATTCTGTAATTGAGGCCAGGGAAACACACGGAGATGGAACAAACGTGCGATAAGGAATCTTCTATGTTTCACTCATATCTCCTTTGTAACTGGACCGATATTCAAAACTCAAAATTTGAGATACACTGCCTGAGGCAGGTCAGTATACCTTTTTATCTTTCACTTTATTTATCGGCTAGTAGAAAATGGAAATAAAAATCATAGGTTGGAGAAACAAACCTCTTGGGACTTTCGTCATAAAATATGAAATTAGGCTTTTTCTGGATCGTATAAAACGTATACGTATTCTGAGACAAATCGTTCATAACACCTTCCATTAGGAGAAAATAGTCGTTGCGCGCTTTTTTGCTAGTGCGTGGGAGGTAACAAGAAATGTTTTATACTGACGTTTGTTGCAATAACATTATTGTATGTGTTACAACTCCCTGTTCATTTTGAAAACTTGCTTCAAAAAACTGGATTAAACATTTTTAAGTGTGACAAACAATTACATTTGAAACTTTGGCTTTGTACCCGTGTTCCATCTGGCAAGCTTCATGAGATTTATTTCCCTAATATGTCATGCACCTAAAAATAAAGAAAATAATGCACATAATTATGTAGGTGGGCGGCTTCGTCATTTCCACTGTGCCCCCATTGACTACGCGTTCGATTATGCCTATCTGAGAATAGCGCATCGCTAACGTCCCGCTGGTTCCATTTGAGCTGGTCACCTTTCCAGAGAACCCTGCCAGCATTGCCAGACTCTCCAGAGTAATCACGTATAGCGAGATAATGAACCGCTTTACTATTTGACTGTGTGAGAGAGGATTACGGCGGAAATAATTCTGTGCTGGCGGTTAAAGTGTACAGACAACAAGAAGCAAAACCACTTGTGAAAAACACTTCTACAAATTAGTATTTTCGGACTCATTAAAGAGTACGTCCGACCTTTCCTAGAAACCGCATTTTTTCAATGTTTGTCAACATCTGTAAAGTAATTGCTCCAACCGAAGGGGTTCTGCTGCTGAAAGTCGCTACTGATCGCGGTCATAGCCATCTGGGCCTACATATCTGGCGTCCATCATAAAATTACGCATTTAAAACCATATATGCTTCCCATGTACGTCCCACATCAATTGTCGAGTAAGTGATGTAATCGCGAAGAATTTCTAAATGGTGATACTGTGTTTCTTGAATCTTACATAACATGTACATCATGCTCGTCGTTCTATCTGTGGATTTGTCGGCTCATCGGTTTGACGGTAGGTTCGTCTATGTGTTCGCTAATTAATGTCCTCTTTATAACTCGGAAAGCACCGCTCGGCAGGGGTATCACGTATCTTGAAAAGTGACATTATGCCTGTTTTTTTTTAGCATTATGTAGGTTCTGATGTGATGTAAAATCTGCTTCTGAGATAGCATTACTGGAGGTCTAAGCTGTAAGTGGTATGTGTTGATGATAATTACCGTGGGTTCTTGTTTCAAATACACTTAATTGAGATTACCTATACAAACTTGCTGAATTTCAAAAATGAGAAAAATAAGAAAAGAAAGTCCCTGGTTGGTGAAGTATATTACAAGTCACAGGTGAGAAAATATGCTTCAGACAGAAATATTTACGAAACGTTAGAAAGTTATTACGAGTACATTACATGGTCATGCAAGGCAACACTGTTGAAATATACTCTACTAGGTTCTACAAGACTATCTGAAGTGACATTTTTCTCGGAATCGTTGCACAACTCAAAAAATTGCAAATGAAGAATTGGCGCCAGGCTAGACACAAAGCTGACCTTGATATTATTGTCACCTTTCATAAAACATAGACACCACCGATCTTGTTTTGTTTGTTCTTGCACGGACGATGGGAGTATTTAACTGAATTACCTAGCTATTTAGCAAATATTATTACGCCTTAAATCTTATGTTTTCAATATTTCCGTCCAAGCTTCTTTTTTGTAACATTCTAACAAAATAGCAAAGGTAGCAAAAACATCTGATAAGCCGGCAACACCGTAACCCAGGTGACAAGAATAGCAAGGTCAGCTGCTGAAACTTATGTCTAGCCTGGGGTGCCGACGGAGCCATTTCGAACGTCAAAGCGTCAATTTTCCATTTTCATTTGCATTTTTTCAAGTGTTCTGTAGCGATTTCAAGAAAAAATTCGCTACGAATAATCTAGTAGGGCCTAGAAGAACAATTTTCTAGCGTAGCCATATTACCTTTACTCGGGCTGACCTCTTCAAAAAGGCAACATATTAATATCCCGTCGGGCACAGCTGATAGATACAGGTATAGTTCATGGGCAGCATATTCATTAATGATTTTCTCACAAAGCAAATATCACTAAATTTTTGCACATGCAGGCCAATACACATAATGGTCCATATGCAATCTTACTACTCAGTCAACTTTCTTTCTCTCATATCTTCTCAGAACTAAGCACTACAGACTACTTTACTTTCTGCAACAAACGACGCAAGCAGTGTCGCTGAGTCGTCCCTCCGTAGATGGACGCTTTTGATGGCGCTCACAGCTACCATAGCGGAAAAACGTGGACTTACTATTTGCACACTAAAAACTACCTAGTCTGTAAGCTGAGATTTTAGGTTTTTACATAAAACCTCTGCGGGTTAGGACAAAAAGATCTATCTGAAGCTTGAATCAGTGACGGCGGAGCTACGTCAAAATCCATGAAGCCGTCGAAGCTGTAGCCCGAGAAATAGGAATTTCAAGGTTGATCCATATCATTAAAATCCTCCGTTTTGTTTCAAATGTTCATACGGCCAGTGTCACCTGCACTGCTCAGGCAAATCCAACAATATCTCATATGTCAAAATGAAGTTCTAAGATTGAATTTTTTGATTCAGTTTGCCATTTGGTTTTTATAAAATCTTAATATACCCAGTATCTCTGGAATTTCTAAGATTAATCCAAACGACACCTCTTATGCCAAGCTTCTTAGCCTGTTGCTCATTAAAATATAGTTTTTTGGATAGATAAAAGATGCACACAAGCGTGTGAAGAGCGTTACTATTCTTCTAAGCAGTCATGCAAATATACAAAATACATCGTCGTATTTAATTGCAACTGTTTACGAATCTATGGAAAATCAAATTTACACGCTGAAAATGTAGATATTCGTACACATTTTGGTGAGCATTTCGAAAACATTTGGGTTAAAGTGATTACGGGTAAGTGTGAATTATAATTAGGTGTTTTGTACCGACCACACACTGAAAGCATACAACAATGTGCAGATTTATTTAATGATCTCCTACCCAGCCTTTTCTTGTATCATCATAACATCGTGATATTGGAAGGTCTGAATATATATTTTTCTAATAACAATATATTCTCATTGAGTTTTGAGATGACGGGGTTCATACAAATCGTAACGTAAGCCACCCGTGTCACATATCGTACTGCAATATTAATCGATACAATATTTTCAAATAATCCTCAAACATGCAGCTATTCTTCCGTTGTGGACACGAATGGTACTTCAGACCACAGACTCGCCTTTTTTAATTTTGCTATTACATTTTACAAAAGAGAACAAAAATTTATCACAATCAGGGATTTTAAAAATTTCATTGAGGATTATTTTATTATCGATCTTCCTATGTGATGCTCATTACAAGCGTTATCGTGGAAACTTATAATAAACGAGCACCTTTTAGACCTGTAAGAGTCAATAAGTCACCATCACCTTGGTTAACTAATGAACTGCGCAATGTTCTTGAAAAAAAGTAATACTGCACAAGCTTTATATAAAGCTAACAAGACCCTGGGCACCTATAATAACTTCAAATCGCTTAGAAATCGTACTCTTAACATAATGAAAAAACATGTATGTACTGTAAATTTGGCAAATAAGAATAATTCAAAAAAATTGTGGAAGTCTCTCCAACAACTTAATATTAATTTCGGTAGCAAACCAACTCCTCCAGCAAGTTTTAATGGCCCTACCAATATTAATGATTATTTATTATTTTTTTATTCACTAGTTTTCGAGAACTATGTTAAAAATAAATTAAGGCCCAATTTCACCAACAACAGTCCGTTATTCTCCACCTATAGGGTAACAGACCGTCTGATACAGCGAATGAGCTCCAAGTTCCAATCAACAAATTTTAGCAACCAATAGCTATGAAATGTTGAAAAAAAGATACTGTCAAAGTATGAGAAGACAACTTGTCATTGAAACATCACCAGCTTATTGAATATTAAGAAATTACATATAACTCTGTCAAAATTTTAAGAAATCTTTGATTTTTGAATTAAATTCATGTTTTAATTTCTATTGTTGATTTTTTATTCATGTTTATATTATTTTCTTCAATTGATATGTGATACTGGGTGTTTTTTCCTATAAACCTCTTGCAGATAGCCATTAAGCACCTACTTGATGACAGGCTCTACCAAAAGTTATTACTCGTTTCCAAACATTCATTCATTTACTTGCCGTTCATCAGAACCATTATGGCACCTTAGATTGATATTCCCACAAAACCAT